TTCCTTTAGTTATATAATTGTCCACCACCATTTATGACTCAATGCAGCAAGACCACAGAGTTTTTATCTGCCTACTAGTGAGCAGCAGGTAGCTGTATAGATCACCTGGATATTTGACTATAAGTTTCCATAGTTTGGTATGAGACTTGGCTTTATATGAATCTGGAGGTCATAGGTTTGAGCTCCATTTCAGCAACTTGAATATATAATTTTGACTGATGCACCATTGCAGTACTGAGGGTGCACTGTAGGTGCTATTGCACCTGCCCTATAAAGCAGATAGAAAGATCTTATGGCCCAATTTCGAAGAGGGGACTTGTAGTCAACGTTTATCCCTCAACTAATATCAATAAAACCGCTGCTAGAGCTGTACTCCCACTCAGTTCCCATGAAAAACTGCACTGGAGTGCTATTAATAGGACCTCAATGTACAGACATTTCTTAGGCACATAACTGCTTAGCAATGCGACAGCCAATTATAGGTTGGCAGCTTCAGCTGAAATCATCAAAGAAAGCTACTTAATGCTGAAGAAACCAACATAATTCAGTAACATCCCCATGGATGGATAAGTGGCAATACTCCCCAGTCTGCCCCATGTGACTCTAGTCCTACACTAACACATAATGCCATCTGAAGTGGACTGGGAAGTCACTCACTTATAAAGTTAATTGCAAGAAAAAGGCTGACTAATTTCATATAACAATTTAAGTGAGTGCACTAAACATAACCTTGACAGCATTCTACACAACAGATAAACAAATGGCTTAGTGGTATTATTGCTTGACTGTTAATCCAGCCACCCAGGCTGTTTTGGGGACCTGGGTTTGAATCTTACCATGGCAGATAGTGGAATTTGAATTCAATAAACATCTGGAATTTAGAGTCTAATGCTAACTATGAATCCATTGTCGATTGTTGGAAAAACCTATCTGGTTCACTAAAGTCCTTTAGGGAAGGAAACTGCCATCCTTACCTGGACAGGTCTACATGCGACTCCAGACCCACAGCAATGTGTTTGATTCTTAACGGCTGTCTGAGCAATTAGGGATGGGCAATAAATGCTGGCCTAGCTAGTGAAGCCCTCATCCTGTGAATGAATTGAAAAAAGAATCAATAACAGGAATAAATGATGCTTGTATTTTGCATGTGATGTATCACTCTACAATGGCTGGACTTCCGTCAAAGGCATTTTTCCACACTTGGCGTTTGCTGAACTCAGTGCATCATTGATTGGATGATGCTCTCAATCAGCTTCCTTACCTGATTCCAATTTATAGCTGTAAGTTAAAGGGATATTTTGAAGCAGAGAAATCATCCTGAGGGTGGGCAAACCTCAAATAGAGGAAAAGCAAACAATTCTGATCAGAAACAAATGCTGGATGGAAAGCAACAAAAAGCAGTTAGAAACTGATTGCAGAGAACCTTTGCAATAGTGTGGTGAGAAGAATCGTTTGTCTGTTTGTGTTGCTCAACAATGTAGCGTTAAAGTTGCTTTTTGAATTAAGGAAGTCTTGGTGTTGGGTAAGTCATGAATCCACAAGGTCATGGCTGAAGGTTGTATCTGATATCTCTCAGGGATTCACTGATGGTCTCTCTGATTCCTCAGCTGTCATCCTGAGCAATATCACTCCAACAGATTGGGATGAATTTCAGTGGTCACTTGATGGTGGGGAAACGAGTAGGCAGACCCAAAAATTAAGTGTTGGGCAGCTTGCCAGCTCCTTATTCCAACTAATGCCCCTAAGCAGAGAATTAATAGCTAATTAATGTCTTAATCAAAGTGCTCCTCCAATTAAATACATGTTAAGAAAGGCCTGTATCAGACAGCAGCTTTAAGCTGGCTGTCTGCTGGTCAGTGAAAGGGTTGAGGGTAGGGACCACTTTCTTCCTGGGCTCCCTGTGCAATTGGAGCACCAGTTCTGTCTTCCCTTTCCACTCTCCCCCAATATGTCTCCAACTCTCTTCATTAGGGCCTGTTGGCCTGGCCCCAGTGAGACTTCAAACTTGACTGAATGACGGGTTTATTTCTGTACAGCATTTCCTGGGCCTACCTGCAGTACTGAGAGTGACCACCACTTCTGTTTAGTGCTAACAAATTTTCTGAAGAAGGGGCTAGGCCCGAAACATCAGCTTTCCTGCTCCTCTGATGCTGCTTGGCCTGCTGTGTTCATCCAGCTCTACACCTTGTTATCTCAGATTCTCCAGCATCTGCAGTTTCTACTATCTCTGTTTAGTGCTGCTGGGTTATCAATCACTAACAGACCACCAGACATAGAGTCATAGAGTTGTACTGCACAGAAACAGACCCTTTGATCCAACTCATCCATGCTGACCAGATATAATAAATAGATCTAGTCCTATTTGCCAGCATTTGGCCCATATCCCTCTAAACCTTTCCTATTCATATACCCATCCAGATGACTTTTAAATGTTGTAATTGTACCAGCCTCCACCACTTCCTCTGGCAGCTCATTCCATACACGCGCCACCCTCTGCATGAAAAAGTTGTCCTTTAGGTCCCTTTTAAATGTTTCCCCTTTCACCTTATACTTATGCCCTCTAGGTTTGGACTCCCCCAACCCAGGGAAAAGATCTTGTTTATTTACCCTATCCATGCCCTTCATGATTTTATAATCTCCGAAAGGTGTGATGCCCTCTTTGAAATGGGAGGAATGACTGCCTCATACTAATTAAATGGTGGTCACTGAAATGTTCAAGTGGGGTGAGCAGGCTAAGCAGAGGCAGGTTTGCTCCTGAAATTTACACTGAGGTATGGGCAGCATGTCTTCAGTCTACGATCCAGCCGATAGCACCAGTTTCCGCATATACGCTCATGACATCCTGATTTACCCCATCTGCACCTTTTCCTGATTTAACTACTGTCTAAATTGTAAAACTGCTTGTGTAACATTCAATGAAGGACAAACAGAAATTTCCTCCAGCTGAATACTGGGGAGACTGAAGCGATTGCTCTTGATCCCTGCTACAAGTTCCATTTCCCTAGCTTTAGACACTAATGCTTTTTCTGAACCAATTGTTCTTGGTGGCATATATGGCTCTGGTCATATATTTGACCCTCACTAAGACCACCACTGTAATGTCAAGTAACTTGGCCACACTTCAGCTCATCTCTTTTGAAATGCTCACCCATGCTTTCCATATCTATAGATTTGACTAATCTTGGCCAACTTTCCAAGGTCTACTCTCTGTAAACTTAAGGCCAGACAAAACACTGTTGAATATTGGATTAACATTGAGGAGAACAAGGAGAGAAAGTTATTACAACTTTTATATTTATACCATTGATTAAAATTCAGTGCAATGGAAGAAATGGAACTCTGATTGGATTGAGATTCAACATGAAGTTGTGGGAAAGATGGTAGAGATTTGTGGGATGGTCAACATTCAGTTGTTTCAGAGAGAAAAGTGGAGTCAGATGGGAATTTGGGGTTAAGGGTGAGTTTTTGAGAAGTGTAACGACAATATTTTTGAATGGAAGGGGTAAGTTTCTGGATGAAACCACTTACACCTAACACACAGGCTACAATAGGGTGCTGGGTCTTCAGCATTTCAATGGGAATTGGACCAAGGGAACACAAGTTTCGGGGAGAGGGAGTGTCACTTGGAATTAAGAAGGACCAAGAGCTTGTGTGGTTTCTCTGAGGCCTTTTGAAAGGCCCTGCACTGAATCTAGACTGAGATAACTGATCCCAGATTAGTCTTGGTTTTTTGGTCCATATAGTTGAGCATCCCTAGACTTGGTAAATGGCTGGAGGCTAGGTGTGCAAGCTGAGAAAATAGTTCCAACAGCTCCTCCACCTGCTCTTGCATGGGGAACATCTCCCATGGAATTTACAGTCCTTCATGTTTTAAGTGTAAAGACACATACTGCTGATCAGATTGCATGTCAATTACTGAGTACTGTATATCTGGCACATCTAATTGTAGCATAGTATAGTAGTGTGGTAATGTTGGATTAATATCCTTGCAGCTCACAGTACTTTATAGACGTTTATGAAATCATAAGGGGCATAGGTAAGGTGAATTACCAAGGTTTTTTCCCTAGGGTAGGGGAGTCCAAAACTCGAGGGCATAGGTTTAAAGTGAAGGGGGGAAGATTTGAAAGGGACCTCAGGGGCAACTTTTTCACACAGCGAGTGCTGCATATATGTAATGAGCTGCCAGAGGAAGTGGTAGAATCGGATACAGTTGCAAGATTTCAAGACATTTGGATAGGTATATGAATAGGAAAGGTTTGGAGCGATATGGGCCAAATTGCAGGGAAATTGGATTAGTTCAGTTTAGGAAACCTGGTTGGCATGGACAAGTTGGGCCGAAGGGCCTGCTTCCGTGCTGTAAGACTCTACAACAACATTACAATACTTTATCATGTCAATGTTCTAACTTATCTGGAAATCTCTCAGACATTGTTGAGTAAATCACGTACTTCCAATCTCCCAGTGAGAGCTTGGACAATCAGACTACAGTATTACAACACTCTCTAATACCTGTACTTAGTCTTATTGAGTGTGGCTTCCTTTCTGGCAATAAGAAACAAGTTTATAATCCTAGATGACAGCGATATTGTGCCTATTCTCTGGGAGGAAGAGAATGGTAGGCTGAATGTCCTTTGGTTTTTTAACATAGGGTGCCTGCAAATAGGGAGTTAAAAGAACCCATGCTACTCTATTGTACCTTCTCCAGTTGTTGGGCACCAGTCAGCATCTGAACTGAGGAATACAGGTGTGAATCGGAAAGAACTTACATTGAGGAAACAAAAATCTTACTGACCTTCAATCAAACCAACTGCTCTAGAGACACCAGGGTAAGCTAGATCACCTGATCAACTATTCAGAATAAAGGACAAGGGTACATTATTCAACTAACTCCTGTAAATGGTATTCTATTTATGTACTTGTTCTGGGAATAAAAGGCACGTATAATTGTAACATAATCTGAATCCTACTTGTGAAAAAGAAACAAAAAATTCCCCAGGGGGTTCCAAAAAACAAGTTTATTTGTAAGGCATTAATGCAAATATGTTGAATTGTTTTAAATAAATACAATACAACAGACTAAGTAATTAATCTTCTACTTAATACAAATTAGTTCACATTTTATGTTTCAAATTACAAGGAAACATTTGTTCTCAAATCACCTCCTCTGCTATTCCTATTAAATCAGACAAACATTCACAGTAGTTATAACAGGTTTTTAAAAACTTATGACAGTTACCATTTTCATGAGTAAAAGTATCACTTGCTGTAGTACTAAAGGGACACTGATCAGTATGCCTACAAGTTGTTCTTATCATTTCTCAATCCTCTGACTTTTAAGTATCTGTTTCTGATGATGTAAACATCACATTGTTATTGCCCACTTTGTCTAACCACCAGGAGCTGTGAGATATCTCTCAAGCCTCCCTGTTCAGACTAACTTACTGCTGGCATTTTATCTAAAGGAAGGTGACTGGCAATTTGTTTTCACACCATTGCTCCATTTCTGAACAAAAATCAATTAATATATCAGGATATTTGTGGATTGCATCATTTCAGTTCATAACAGGATGGATTTGCTGCAACATTTGCGATTACTCAGGCAGAAATTCCTTTCCATTCATTGTTGCACTCATGCTGAAGCAAGGAAGAACGTGCAAGGAATGGATTACCAACTGCATGTATCACCCATCTAGTTCAAGGCCCAAATTAAAGTCAAGGCTTTAGTTTTGAAACCTAGAAGTAGGCCACCCTATCATTTGATGGTCATCGACCATTTCCTGACTTGTTCAGAACAGTTCCTGATCATGTTGATGTTGTGGATGTTTGACCTTGGAAAACCTTGGAACTTTAAACAAATGGTTTCATTTAGAGAAGTTTTTGCTATTTTGTTATACCTTTTCAGCAGCACACTGAAGTATCTGAACTCATGGTTCAGAGAAGTGAAAACTTCCTTTAGAGGTACCTTATCAATTTCCAGAATGGTGGCATATCTCAGCACCCAATGGAAGAGCTGAAATTCAAGATCTCATATTTATATCTGTCACTGAGTATTGTTGATCGATGCAACATAATTGGACTTTTCTTTCACATCGTTCAGTTATGATTTCAGCTTATATTAAAATATAAAAATCAAATACTGCTTTGAATTTTTCTTTCCTGTGAAGGCAAAATAACTTCCAACCATCTAGCATTAGTTGGAATTCAGTTAAGGAATGATAATGATACATGTGACTTTATAAAATAACCGAACTTCCATTGTATTACTTCCACTTGGGTAAAGCATTTTCACAGCAAGTGACTGACACATTGAAAGTAAAAGTTATTCAATGCAACAGTCAATTCACCTTAAAAAAACTTCCCAATTGTAAAATTGCAGCAAGTTTTATAATCAGTCTTATTTATTTTTTCACATTAAATGCTGTGTTTGAAATTTGTAAAGTCTCCTTTAAACAAGGTAGAGATCAGGGCTATAAGGTGTTGTGTAAACACAGGCATACTTACCCACTTAGTATTCAAAAGTTCTGAGACTCACACTATGGGACAGCAGCGGCTGTTTTATGTTTTCTGCAACAAGGCCATTTTGCTGGGGTCTGCATATCCAGGCAGGGAAGTGTGAGTAAATAGAAGCTTGGTCCCAGATGAAATAGGGCTTAATAGAAATGGTTAATACCCTACCAAAATATGATACAGAGTTGCTTTCTCTTTATACAATACTGTCCCTCAAGCACTTGAGCTTTTCTTCTTCATTCGAGTCCTGGTTGGCTCTGTCAGTATCAGTGGCTCCTGGACGATTACTGCCTTGTATTTTTTATTCAGTAGTTCCACCTCTAGCTGTTGTCCTATTTTGCTGAGCTCCAGAGGCACATATGCGAAGGCCACACTCTGCTGAGTGTTATAACTGTAGGCTCCAGATGTGGTGTTACCTACAACCTTAATAGAGAGGAATACTGTTTTATAGGCTGAACTTTGCATTTAAGGAAACAGCATTTAGTTTCTATTGTGGGGATTAAATTTGTGCTGTTTGAAGTGACTCATTTAAAACTAAGAAATGGAGCAAGTTCTTATTTCAGGTGCCAAGGATAGCAGTAAGCAGTGTTACCTTCAAGCTAACTGTAAAGTACTTTGGGCATCTGAGGTCATGAAAGATGTCATCTCCAATCAAACAGCACTTTCCTAACACTGCACTGAGGGTCAGCCTAACTTATGCTGTCAACCTTTGTAGTGGGATGTGAGCTTACAATCTTCTGATTCCTGGTAAGAGTTTTATTGAGTGATTGGAATATGGCTCTTGCTACCAAATGGAATGGTTGAGATGAATACCTAGCTGCCCTTGAATCCAAAGGAAGAAGAAGAAGGATGTGCAGGAAGGATTGGATGAAGTAGAGTGGAAGATTCCTTGAAGCATAAACACTAGTACAAAGCAGTTGTACTGAATGGCCTTTTTAGTCCCCCAAAAAGTTTTCCTAGTCATGTTAGTTTCAGATTTTAGAGTGTCTGCTACATGAGATTTGAATCTTATCCAGTGAAAATAGCGTTGGGGCTCCGATGACGTTATGGGACCCAGTTTCAACATATTCATCAAGTACCCACCTGTTTCTATCCTCATTTAGGTGAAATCACAATTGGAGTAATGGCAATGTTAATGAGGTGCTGAGTTAATTTAGGGTTAGGGTTATTTTGACAGGTCATCTACCCCATTGGGCAGACAGGATTAAAATCAGGCCTGTAAGTTCTTATTTCTCACTGCTAATTTTCACTGATCTGGGATTAATGACACAATGAACTTTCATCTCTGACACAGGTTGCAGTACAATACCATAAGATGCTTTGCTACTGAGCAAAAGCATATCTTACTTTTTTCTAGATGACGGTCCCTCAACATTATCCCTTTACAACTTCACCTCAATGAACTTTGAGCTTGGCATGTTGCTGTGCTCTTCTTCCATTGTCTTTGCCTCAGTGACCATGTCTTTGTCCAAGAGTCTTTCTCCCAGCTTCAGCATTCTCCCTGTACATGAACTCTTCCAACTGAGCTTTTAGCTTCCTAACATCTTTTCATTGTACTGCTGGCGTGAAACCAGTTGTCTCAGTTTCTCTGCACCCTGCACTTACCATAAACTACCTTCGTCTGCACTAGAAGACACTCTTTATTTCTTAAGTCCAACTCTTAAATTGTATTAAACCTGCCGACAAGAGTAACACTATTGTTGTTTAGTAAACTGATGTTGAGGCATAATGCCAAATCTGTCACCTCTTCCTATCTCCCCTGGACCATGATCCCACTACTGAGAAACAAGTTGTTATCTCCTGGACCATCGCTAATCTCCTCTCTTCTAATGGTCTTAGCCGCATGCCTGTCAAACTCATTGTCCACCAGCCTAAGAGATGTAAATATCACTTATGTCCGTTATTCCACAAAAAGGACTGCTCTGCTAGATCAACTAATTTCAACCTGACAGAAGACCCACAGAAGATATTTCATATAATCTTTACTTATTTTTTCTCCCTTTGTCCAGCCTTTTGTTCCCTCCATTCATGACTCTCCAAAGGTTTTCCACTACTTAAACATTTTCCAGGCCCTGACCAATTCCTTTTAACCACAGACATCAGTTTCTCAGCCCCCACAAAGATAGTCTGAGGCTCCTTGCTCCTCTCTTGGACAGAGGCTTAACAAGTTGTCATCACCTGCACCTTCCTGCGCCTGGGTGAACCTTTCTCCCATTGAACAACTTCCCTTAATGACAGTATTCACTTCCCCCAAATGAAACATGTTGCAATGAGATTAATTGGACCTAGTTGCAGCTTGCCTTTTCTAAGAGACTTAGACTTAGTTCCTCTTGTCCTGTACTAACAATGAGCAGCAAAATTCCACTACTGTACCCAATCCATTGCTGCTCTTTCACTCCAAATTATGAACTGTGTTGTTCCTCAAGGTCGTCTCTAATTGTACTTCACCAAGTCTTCTCTGATCAGTCCCAGATTCTTTTTCCATCTGATGTTGCCCATGCCACTGACGTGCTGGCGTTATGTAAGTCCGGGAGGCAAAATACATCTCCTGACAGTCTCGGCTGTCATACTGACCCATTCATGTCTCTGGGCATTCCTATGTAGCATTCCTTCATTAGTGATGTTGTCTCTCTAGGCCATGCCCCTGATCTTACACTGCTGAAAGGTGTCTGACTTGAATGATAGCTTTATTCTTCTCTTCCATGTCTTGCTAGCAGTAATTGCAGTTGGTTCTACTACAGAAATATAGAGTCACAGTTTCATGGCTGTGCTGATGGTGTTAGGTGCCCAGATTGCATGGAATTACTGTAATATTATGCTGCCTTGCCGATTCCTGTGTAGTGTGTCACGCTGAGACCTGGCAGAAGTTCCCCAATTTATTACAGTTCCACACACAATGCCCCAAAACAATAAGATCCCATGTGAGGAGGAAAGAACTAGCTCCATTTCATTATTCACCCAGCCCCTCAGATCCCTTCCCATGTGGATACCTGTCTCTCAGACCCAAAAGAGTTTACATTTTAAAAGGAGGCAACTTAATCAGTCTTTGAGATAACAAACAGTGATTAATTAAGAGTGATTAAGAATTAGAATATTAATTGCTAAGCAGAAGAAGAATTGCTAGCACAGCACACAAGTTGCACAGGTTAGAAATAACAGGGGAGTCAAAAGAGCTAAAAGTTAAATGACACAGATATCCGGATCAGCCTTTGAATTACTGGCAAAGAGAAAATATTGTGGCCATTGCAGTGCAAGTTATTGAAAGTGTTGACATTGGTAGTTGAACAATCAACTTCACAATTCTTAGTTTTGCAAGTTGGTTGAGATTCTGTCTTTTTGATTCCTTTTGACTGCGACTGAATTCTAGCATTTAAGGTGAGGAGAGTCCTTTTGTTGTCCTGTTTCCTTTTGTCTGGTTTGCTAGTTAGCTGGTTTACACCACGCAGAGTACGCGAGTGCTATTACCTGCAATTAAGGGGTGACTAAAGGATAGTTCTTCAACTGTGACCTTCACAGCACACTAATCTTGAACTCAAGCTAGTACACACAAGTACCTTACTGTAACTGCAATCATGAGAACCTCCGTCCCACTAGCACAGTCCAGTGAGTTGAACCTGTCTTTTTAACCAATGTCCTTGTATACTTTTCAAAAGGAAAAACATAAGATGTGTTTGTGGTTTGGGATATTACCCATTGAAGATGGCTTGTGCATGAGCAGGGGGTCATCAGACCCTTCTTTTCTTTTTGTCACAAGAGATCATAGTTCAGTCTTTTTTTTATTTGCCTCTTCTCCTTTTGAAGGATTGGTATTTAGAGTTCCTTCACATCTTTAGGTGTGACAATCCATGAGTCACTCTCCCTCTCTCTCTCTCCCTCCCTCCAGTCAGCCATTTTTGAATGTATCAGCCCTCCTTATAAAAAAAAACAGTTTGGAATTACAGGTTAAAAATATCCACGGTACTTCACAGTTCTGACCCATGGTCATGACAGAAGGTCAAATTCCTACAAAGCTCTCCCGTTTACTTCTCAGGTAGGGAGGGTAGTCGATACTTGCACTATTCTGTTGCCCATGGGAGGGCCTTATTACCATCAGATCATTGTTATCTTAGTCTTCTTGCATTTGATGTATAGACTAACGTTGAGGTCACTATTCTCAAAGCTGGTGATCATGTCTTGAAGCAATTCTTCAGCCAGCAAGGAGGTTTCATCTGTTATCTGGTGGGATTTCTGTGGGATGTCAAAGTCTGCAATCACCAAGGCCTTCCTCATAACCAATAAATAAGAGAAAAGGAAGGGGAAGAGAATACCGCCATGCCATGTCCCTGAGATGATGTTGGAGGAGTTTAAGGTGGCTGCGCTAGTTTTGATAAAGCAGTTGGAGTCATGGTATAAGGCTTTGAAGATGTTAACATACCTCTTTGAGATGTCATACTGTCTTATGATGTACCAAAGTGACTGTCGATGGGTGCTGTTGAAAGCGTTCCCGGAATCAATAAAATTCCATGGGACACAAGGCCTCTCTGTTGTTCTGGTCTGACTTAGGACCCCTCCCTCAGCCCACATCCAGTATACTGTTGACTGCCTTAGTGAGATTTACTGTTCCCAACTCAAACTGGAAAATTACAACAACTTTGCTTCCGAGTTGAACTCTTTACATTCACATGGTCCATCTGGGATTTTTCCTTTTCCATTCTCGAATTCTGGATTTTGTCTGTCAATCAATGTCTACTATAAACCTGTTGGTTCCCACAACTTTAAACTTCTTCCCACTTCACTTCCGGTAAGGATTCTTTTTCCAATCTCCATCTTCATCTATATCACACCCTGGCATGGCACTTTCCACACCAGTGCCTTTGAAATGTCTTTTCATTTTTATATGCCTGCGTTGCTGCCTGGCCAGCATTTGTTGTCTCTACCCTATTTTCCCATGAGAAGGTAATGATGAGCCACTTTCTTGAACTACTGTAATCCATCTGGTGTGCTATGCTCCGAGTGTTGTGAGGGAGGGAGTTCCAAGATTTTGATCCCATGACAGTTCAATATATTTCCTACTCAGGGCGGTGTGTGGTTTAGAGGGAAACACATAGGTGGTGGTGTCCCTACGCATCTGCTGCCCTTGTCCTTGTAAGTGGCAGAGGTCACAGGATTAGAAGATGCTGTCAAAGGAACCTTGGAGACTTGGGGCGGAGTATCTTTGCGTCTAGTATCCACTGTACGTTGGTGGTGGAGGGAATGAATGTTGAAGGTGATGGATGCGTTGCCAATCAAGCAGCTCTTTAAGTACTGGATGGCATTGAGCTTCTTGAGTGTTGTTGGAGATGTGCCCAATCAGGCAAATGGAGAGCCATCACACTCCAGATTGTGCCTTGTACGTAGTGAAGAGGCTATTCAGGAGATGACTTACTTACACCAACCTGTGGCCTGCTCCGTTTATTTATATGGCTGGTTCAGTTCAGTTTCTGGGTAATGGTAACACCATTGAATGTCAAGAAAAGATGGTTAGATTCTCTCCCATTGGGGATCATCTACACCTGGACCTTCTGGGGCACCAACGTTATTTGTCACTTATCAACCTGAGGCTGAATCCCATTATCAATCTCCTTTGGCCTTGTCCCATTAAGTTGTTCACCATTTAATCTCTCATAGCTTCTAACTTATCATAGACCTTCTGTTTATTCTTTCCTCCCTCGTCCCCATTTCGTGCCTCTGCACTCGCTTAAAACTTTGTACATCCATTGCCAAATCTGGCAAGACAATTATCATCCTGAAATATTAACCCTGCTTCTCTTCACAGATACTGCCTGCAAGGTTTTCTGCTGGGTTTTCTCCAGTGCTTTTTGTTTTTATTTCAGATTTCCTACATTTTGCTTACATTATTTTTATTGTTGTTGCAGTAAATCTTTTCTTAATGATCTCTCCTGGTGTTACATACTATCAATAAACCATAGCCATCTCCCTTCAGGAGCCAGCAAAGTGGAGTTTGCTTCAGACCCATAGTAGCAGCAGGATTTGTCTCATGGACTGAAACTGTTCAGCAAAGGAAACACTCAAGAAAGGTTTATGGAAGCAATCCAATATGGGAATTAGTCGGTGATTTTACTGTGGTTTTATTTAAAACGGGTTCTTGAGTCAGGCCTCATGGGAAGATTTGGCCTAGGAATGTAGTTTGGAGACATGTGGCCTCAGCAGTAAGGAGAGTTAAGCTGTCAAAGGTTCTTTTTCAAGGTGTTTAAATCTCTTTGGGCCTACCTTATCTTCATACCAAACACTTTCATTTCCTTCAGGATCCACATTGTCAGTCTGCATGGTAAGGTACACCAATTTGCGCTGAACACCCTCCTTCTTGATGTTCATCAAAGCCTGTTTTCCTATGAAGTCGATTGGCTGAGTGAGACAAAAACATCAACCCATCATAAATACCTCAAATGTTTATGCACAAAATCCTGACCCACCTTTCGCTTTGAAAAGAAATGGCACACGCTTTTGAAGAAAACTGTTTCAGCTGCTATGAGGCAAGGTACAAACAGCTCCCAGCATGTTTAAAATAGCCTTCCACAGGTCACTTTATCTTTACGAATGCAATTCATATTAAACATGACTTAGTATGAAATGTGTTGCAACAGAAAAGTTTATCTGGAAGGAGAACAGATAAGATGAAATGTTGCGACACAAACTGCCCACTGTTAATCAAAGATTCAGATCTTGAGGGAATGTATTTAGCCTTTGTCAGAGCAAAAGTAACAGAGTTAGGTGTATAATTTTGTTCAATACTTTCAGGCAGTTTTGAGTGTATGTGGTTGAGTTACTAAACCAACATGGACAGCAGGTTAGCAGACGGAAAACAAAGAGTAGGAATGAAAGAGTCATGTTCTGAGTGGCAGGCAGTGACTAGTGGGGTAAGGATCAGTACTTGGACACCAGCGATTCATAATATACATTAATGGTGGTATAATAGTGATCTAATAAGTAATAAATACTGGTCCAGCCAGTGATGCCCTCATCCATGAATGAATTTTAAAAAATGGTACAGATGAGCGAATAGCGAATTAAATGTAATATCTCCAAGCTTGCAGATGACACAAAGGCTGGGTGGGAGGGTGAGCTGTGAAGAGGATGTGGACATGCTTCAGTGTGATTTGGACAAGCTGAGTGAGTAGGCAAATCCATGGTCGATGAAGGATAATGCACATAAATGTGAAGGTTATCCTCACATTTATGAAGATGGATTATTAGCTGAATGGTGATTAACTAGGAAAGGGAGAGGTACAAGGGTGTCCTGTAAACCAGTTGCTGAAAGTGAGCTTGCAGCGAGAAATAAAGAAGGGAAATGTTATGTTGGCTCTCATAACGAGAGGATTTGAGTACAGCAGCAAGGATGTCTTGCTACAAATGCCCAGGGTGAGACTGCACATGGAATATTGCATGCAGTTTTGGTCCCCTTAGCCAAGGAAGAATGTTTTGACGATGGAGGAAGTGCAACAAAGATTAACCAACAGCAACAACAACAAAAACAAAGTTGCTGGAAAAGCTCAGCAGGTCTGGTAGCATCTGTGAAGGAGAAAACAGAGTTAACGTTTTGGGTCCGGTGACCCTTCCTCGGAGGATTTGAGTACAGGAGCAAGAATGTCTTGCTACAAATGTCCAGGGTGAGGGGCTCTGCAAGCTTCTGAGGAAGGGTCACCGGAACCGAAACGTTAACTCTGTTTTCTCCTTCACAGATGCTGCCAGGCCTGCTGAGCTTTTCCAGCAACTTTGTTTTTGTTCTGGATTTACAGCATCCGCAGTTCTTTCGTTTTTTTTTAAAGATTAACCAGACTGATTCCTAAGACAGCAGGACTGATGTATGAAGACAGACTGGATCAGTGAGGGCTATATTCACTGGATTTAGAAGAGTGAAGCGGGGGATCTCAGTGAGTAAAATTCTAACAGGAAAAGGCAGGGTAAATGCAGGAAGGATGTACCCCAGGACTGGGAGTTTAAAGATACAGGGTAGGTCACCTAGGTCTGAGATGAGGAAATCTTTCTTCACCCAGAGAGTGGTGAGTCTATGGAATTCTCTACCAACGAAAGTGGTTGAGGCCAAAACATTGAATGCTTTCTAAGAGGAGTTAGATATAGTTTTTAGAGCTAAAGGGAGAGATAGGATCAGTAAGCTTCGCACAGTCAGGAAGGAGAGATCAGATCCAGAGTGAGACAAACCCTAGATAAACACAAAAGAGTGGGATCACAGGTAACTCTTAAGTTCAGCTACTGATTTGACTGTCCACATCATCTGTTACTTTCAGGTTGAAGGTAAATAGGGGACATATTTACTGGCTACAAACTAATAGACCAGTATGAAAGTTTTAAAAACCAAATTAAGAACTAAGTAATTAAAATAAGATGGTGGACCAGGCCGTGTTGCAACTGCATGAAGTGGTAGCTGGTGGACCCCATTGTGGTTCATACTGACTGCATCTGTAACAAGTGTTGGTTGCTTGAGGAACTCCGGTTCAGTGTTATGAACTGGAGTCTGAGCTTTGAACACTGTAACCCATCAGGAAGGGGCAGAGTTACCTGGACGCTGTGTTTCATGACACAGTCACACTCCTTAGATTAACTACCTCGAATTCGGTCAGAGGTCAGGGACAGGAATATACTACTACGAGCAAGGCAGGTAGGTGGATCCAGGAGGTAGTGCTGAAGGAGCCTTAGCCCCTGAGCTTGTGTAACAGTTTGGGTTCTTGCTCCCTGTATGGATAAGAGTGAGGGCTGTAGGAAGAATGAACAAACTGATTTCAGCACTGTGGTACAGAGAGCCATTCAAGGGAGGTGGGAGAAATGTAGTTGTAATTGGGGAGAGTATAGTCAGGGGAATTGACACTGTTCTCTGTGGCCAGAATTGAAAGTCTTGAAGGCTGAGTTGTTTGTCTGGTGCCCAGGCTCAGGATATCTTATCTGGGCTGCAGAGGAACTCGGAGAGGGAGGGATAAGATCCAGTTGTCGTGGTCCACATAGATACCAATGAAATAGGTAGAAAGAGGAAAGAGGTTCTGCTGAGGGAATATGAGCAGCTAGGGGCTAAATTAAAAAGCAGATCCAAAAAGGTAATAATCTCCAATTTACTATCGGAACCACGAGCTAATTGACACAGAGTCAACAAGATTAAAGAGGCAAACACGAGGCTCAAAGATTGGTGTGGGAGAAACGGCTTCAAATTCATGGGACATTGGCACCTGTACTGGGAAAGGAGGGAGCTGTTCCGATGGGACTGGCTCCATCTGAATCATGCTGGGTCCTGATTCTTGGTGAATTGCAATAACCAGGGCTATGGATAGGGCTTTAAACTACACAGTGCGGGACAGGGGTGGGGGAGTGAGTTCAGTTGCTTGGAAAAATATGGAAAACGTTAAGTGGAAGGGGGCTCAGCAGAGGTGATTGATGTTTCCAGAACAAGTAACAGGACAGAGAGTATGGAAAGGGTTAGGAATCTAACTTCAGGCACAGCAGATAAGAGGACAACAATGAGAAGGGAGCAGTCAATGCAGGACTGAAGGTATTGTATTTAAATGCAGGCAGTATAAGAAACAGGGTAAATGAGCTTGTGTGCAGATTGAAATTGGTGGGATGATGTGGTATCACAGAGAGATGGCTGCAAGGGAATCGGGGAGAGGAACTAACTACCCAAGGTTACACGTCCTACCAAAAGGACAGGAAGAGGGGTCAGGGTTTTGTTGTTTGTAAGAAATGAAATTAAATCAATAGCAAGAAGTGAAGGCGTAGAATCTGTGTAGGTAGAGATGAGGAACTGCAAAGGAAAAAAGATCCTGATAGAAGTTGTGTACAGGCCTCCTAGCAGTAGTCAGGATGTGGGGAAGAAAATAAATCAGGAGATTGAAAAGACAGGTACGAGAAACACTGTTACAATAATCATGGGGGACTTCAATATGCAAGTGGACTGGGAAATCAACTTAGTAGCAGATCCCAAGAAAAGGAACTTGTGGAATGTCTACAAGATGGTATTTTGGAGCAGCTTGTGGCAGAATCCATTAGGGAACAGACAATTCCGGATTTGGTGACGTGTAATGAGGCAATCTTGATCAGGGAGCTCAAAGTGAAAGAACACTTAAGGGGCAGTGACCATAATATGATAGAATTCACCCAGCAGTTTGAGAGGGAGAAGCTGGAATCAGGTGTAATAGCATTACAACTGAGTTAAGGTAACCATGAAGACATGAGGAAGGAGCTGGCCAGAGTTGATTGAAAGGGGAACATGGCAGGGAAGATGGTGGACCTGCAATGGCAGAGGTTTCTGGGGGTAATTCAGGAGGCACGGCAGAAAATCATCCCAGGGACAGCATAAGAGCAAAAAGAAAAAGCATACAGTGCGGTGAATATTCGTGGGAAATGAAAGGATTGGGAAGCCTTTAAAAACCAGCAGAGGGTAAGTAAAAAGCAATAAGGGAGGAATAGAAATATAAAAGAAGATTGCAGGAGTTTTTATTTTAGATATATAAAAGGTAAGAGAGAGGTGAGAGTGGGCATTGGACCATTGAAAAATGAGGCTGGAGAAGTAGTAATGGAATACAAAGAAATGGCGGAGGTACTCTGCATCAGTTTTCACAGGGGAAGACACCAGCAACATTTCACAACTTCAAGAGAGTCAGGGGGTAGATAATAGTGGCCATGACTAAGGAGATGGTGCTGGGGAAGCTGAAAGGTTTGAAGGTGGATAAATCACCCGGACCACATGGACTACATCCTAAAGCTCTGAAGGAGATAGCTGAGGAGATTGTAGAGGCATTGGTGGTGATCTTTCAGGAATCACTGGTTTCAGGGAGGGTCCCAGAGGACTGGAAAATGGCTAATGTAACAGCCCTTGTTTAAGATGGGAGGGAAGCAGAAGACAGGAAACTTTAGGCCAGTTAGCCTGACCACAGCCATTGGTAAGATTTTAGGGCCCATTATTCAGAATGAGATTGCACAGTACTTGGAAGTGCATGACAAAATAGGGCTGAGTCAGATTAGCTTCGTCAGGGAGATGTCATGCCTGCAAAAATCTGTTTGAATTCTTTGAGGCAGTAACAAGCAAGTAAGACAAAGGAGAGCCAGTGGACATAATCTATTTTGATTTCCAGAAAGCCTTTGGACAAGGTGCTGCAGAGGAGACTTCTAAATAAGATAACAGCCCATGGTGTTAGAGGCAAAGTATTGGCATGGATAGAGGATTGACTGACTGGCAGAAGGCAGAGCATTGGGATAAAGGGATCTTTTTCAGGGTTCAGACGGCAGTTAGGAAGGCAAATGCAATGTTAGCATTCATTTCAAAAGGACTAGAATACAAGGGCAGAAACGTACCACTGAGGCTGTATAAGACTCTGGCCAGATCATATTTGGAATATTGGGAGCAGTTTCGGGCCCCTTATCTAAGGAAGAATGTGCTGGCATTGGAGGGGATCCAAAGGAGGTTTACAGGAATGATCCTGGGGATGAAGGACTTGTCATATGAGGAGCGGTTGACGACTCTGGGTCTGTACTCAATGGAATTTAGAATGAGAAGGGAATCTAATTCAATATCACAGGATGCTAAGAGGCCTGGATAGAGTGGATGTGGAGAAAATGTTTTCAGTTGTAGGAGAGACTAGGATCTGAGGGCACAGCCTCAGAGTGAAGGAACAATCCTTTAGAACTGAGATGAGGAGGAATTTCTTCAGCCAGACGGTGGTGAATCTGTGGAACTCATTGCCACAGAAGGCTGTAAAGGCCAAGTCATTGAGTGCATTTGAGACAGAGATAGATAGGGTCTCGATTAATAAGGGGATCAAGGGTTACGAGAAGGCAGGACAGTAGGGTTGAACAACATATCAGCCATGATCAAATGGCAGAGCAGACCCGCTGGGCCAAATGGTCTAATTTTGCTCCCACATCTTATGGATTTATGGATCAAAGGGTATGGGGAGAAAGCAGGAGCAGAGTATGGATTTGAATGATGAGCCATGATCATTGAATGGTACAGCAGGCTCAAAAGGCTGACTGGCTAATCTGGCTCTTATTTTCTGTTTCTTTGGTGGAATTATTTGCTATTCGAAAATCACCGTACCTTGTTTAACTTGATGAAATAGTCCAATCCAGCTTCAAAGGCGTTTGTGTCACAGTTCATCTAGAGAACAGAAAAATAATCCCTCAATTCTTCACTATCATTGAACCCTCAGCAAAGTCAAGCTTTTTTTAATGCACTCATAAGATGTGGGCATCGCTGGCTGGGCTAGCATTTATTGCCCATGCCTAGTTGCCCTTGAGAACATGGCAGTGAGCTGACTTCTTGAACCGCTGCAGTTTAGTGATTTATAGTTTACACCAGTAGAATCAGTGACATGGCACACTTCAATGAGACAAACAATTCCATGGCACATCCACTTTTTTTGTGGCATCACCCGTCTATTAAAATCCAAAGGCCAGATAGCTGATCAACTGAACAGTTGTTGCTTTTTTTGTCTTTGGGTTTGGATGTTTCACCAATGACTGAATTAGCAGACAAATCACCTCTTTTGACAACAAACATCCATTTCTTCTTAGATCGAGAGACATAAGATAGATTTCACAAAGAAATGTGGTTATGGTCAATTTAGGTATTTATGCTAATGTTAGCTTGGTTTCTTTGGTCACTGGTAAAAGCTATCACATTCTTTAAATTTTGTCCTTTAGCCACCTGTGTTTGGAATGTTCATGTTTTAGAATCGAAAGATTGATACTTCGCTGTTAGTTTGATGCTTAGTTTTCACAAGTTTTGTGAGTTGCAGTTTTGGCTGGATAGATATGTTGTTAAGATGAAACAATGTTTATTTTGCATTGATTTTCATTACCTTTGTACAAGATGTCACAGGTCACTTGGATAGTTCTTGCAAGACACAAGGTGAAAACAACTCAATTATGTGACAGTGCTGAAGGCGTTAATGAATATACATTGACTGTAAACTGGGGTTAGTAAATATATTGTCCTAGAAAATAACAACTGCTCCTGATAAAATCAGATAACTCTGCAACAACCAGGACATCATGTTGAGGTTGTACAGGACATTGGTGAGGCTTCTTCCAGAATACTGTGTGCAGTTGTGGTTGCCCTGCTCTAGGAAGGATATTATTAAATTGGACAGGGTTCAGAAAAGATTTACCAGGATGTTGCCAGGAATGGATGGTTTGAATAATAAAAATAGGCTGAATAGGCTGGGATTTTTTTTTCACTGGAGCATAGGGGTTTGAAGTGTGACCTTATAGAGGTTTATAAAATCATGAGGGGCATAGATAAGGTCAATAACAGGGGTCTTTTCCCTAGGATGGAGGAGCTCAAAACTAGGAGGAATATTGTTAAGGTGAGAGGAGAAAGTTTTAAAAAGGACATGAGGGGCAACATTTTTGTACAGAGAATGGTTTGTGTGTGGAATGAACTCCAGAGGAAGTTATTAATGCAGGTGGAGTTACAACATTTAAAAGACATTTAGACAAGTACATGAATAGGAAAAGTTTGGAGGGATATGTGCCAAATGCAGGCAAGTGGGTCTAGTTTAGTTTGGGAACATGGTCAGCGTGGACTAGTTGGACCAAAGGGTTTATTTCCATGCTGTATGAGTCTATAGCTCTATGACTGTGAACCTATAAACCATTTAGAAAAGTCGTTTGCAGTTCCAGGAAATATGAGTTAGTGAACAAATCCTGAAGTGTGTTACTGAGCCGTACAAGTCACTGATACAATTCCCACAGTGTGCTGAGGAAGCTGATCTCACCTGGGGTTAGAGGCAGGAGGAATAAAGACAATAGGAGCTCTATATCTTACTACAACAAGCCCAATGTAAACTGCAGGCATGCGGGCTTTTAATGACTATAGGATCAGACCTGGTTATAATGCCCTGAGGGTCAAACAGATTACTAACTTTCACCTGTAACCACCTAATCACATGGTAGCAGGAGCTTTTGGAAGGGGATGGGAAGAAAGGAAGAGCGTCCAAACAGGAACTTAACAATTGTATGAATAATGACAAGTTTACACAACAAGCAGAATTACTGACTGTTTGATCCACAGCATAAACTGTAGTTTAAATGAAAAATAATCTGAAGCTATTTAATCCTGAGAACCTCTGATACCTGTAATGTGATAACGATGATGCTGTCTCCTTGTTCGTGGTCCTCTCCCTTGTGTTAGGTACCACCAGCAGCAAGAGATAATCTTATCTATTCATTCACTAGATGCAAGCCAGAGGGCAGTTAAGAGCCAACCTATCCATCTTCTATCCGCCTCCCCCACTCTCCCTACTTATTTCAGAACCCCCTTTCCCTCCCCCATTTCTGAAGAAGGGTCTAGGCCCGAAACGTCAGCCTTCCTGCTCCTCTGATGCTGCTTGGCCTGCTGTGTTCATCCAGCTCTACACCTTGTTATCTCAGATTCTCCAGCATCTGCAGTTCCTACTATCTCTGAAACAATTTTAACCCCACTGCGAAGCCTCTTCTAAGGATGCCTACCCTGAAGAAGTTACCCTCCTCCCTCTGGAAAAACCTCAATGGCTCCACCTATCTTCTCCTCTATCCGCCTCCCTTTCTCTCCCTGTTTATTTCAGAAACCCCTTCCCCTCCCCCATTTCTGAAGAAGGGTCTAGGCCCGAAATGTCAGCCTTCCTGCTCCTCTGATGTTGCTTGGCCTGCTGTGTTCATCCAGTTCTACATCTTGTTATCTCACATTGCTGTGGGTCTGGAGTCACATGTATGCCAGGTCAGGAAAGGAAGCAGTTTCCTTCTGTAGTGAACTAGATAGGTTTTCCCCTCAACAACCTATAATGGTTTCACAGTCATTATTACATTCTTTATTTAAAGATTTTTATTGCATTCAAATTCCATTGGATTTGAACCAGGGTCCTCAGAACTTTACCTGGGCCTCTGGATGAATAGTCCAGTGATAATACCACTAGGCCACCACCTTCTCTGGCCAATGAAATAACAAGTAAAGGTGAGTAAGATAAATGGCGGTGAAGAGGCAATTTGGAATGAAGATAGGGAAGTGATCTATGGAAAACCAAGCATATGTAATACTAAGTGAGGAAGCAGTGGTAAAAGATTGAAGGTTGTGTACGTGATAAAGTGCAAGCAGAGAATGTACAAATATGTGAAAAGCAGGAAGGGAAGTATTGCAGTGTTTGTACAACTATAAGTAGAAGGATTCTAGGTAGAAGGCAGTGAATTGTAATGAATAGTGAGAGAATAAGTGAAAGGAAAGTTGTGAAATCCTTTTGAAGGCAGGAGGAGCTTGGAGTTCAAAAGTAAGAATGTGCTGAGAGTGCAGCTTATTTGTAAACGTGATGTGGGGTTTTTGGTTGTTTAGGAAGTTAACAAGGGATATATTTTGTGCAATTTGGTTCTTGGCTATATACAAAGTAAAGTTTAGTTGATATTAATTTTAATCTTTTTATCAAAGTGGAAGTCTTAAAATGTGAAATCTCTGCAGATGGTCATCTCCTTTTAAAAGTTATTAGTTTCTATGGGGACCATGACAGGGGATTGTTCTCACTTTTGAAGTTCTTATGGTGGAATTGAACATCTCACAGACTTTGTGAGTGATGTTAATGTGCACCAGCTCTGTAGCCTTCCCTATCCAGACCTGCTTCACTATAACTTTGAGAATGTTCATCCTGGTGGCCTGGAACAATATCTTCCCTTCAAAAGGACTTTCAGGGACAGGAGACATGAGCCCTCCCACCCATCTCATATTGCTAATGACGTCCTTCATGGTTGATCTAGGAGGACTAAGCAGTGAATACGACCTTCCTTTGGGAGATGCATCTTCAAGTTGACCCAGACTTGAGTGATGAATGAAAATCCAATATGTGACAGGGGTGGACAGAACATTTTCTCATTTGGTGGAGGAGGAGGTTTTGTGAAATGGAAATATGGTTCAAAGGTTATCATTGGCCAAAGCTCAAATTCACGACATCGTTCGTGGCTTACTGCCCAATCTGCCGGCCCTCACTCATGTGCTCATTTCACATCCTGAGTTAAAATTAGGCGTGGATCCTCAGTTTAACATTTTGTCTGAAAGGCGATGTATCTGATGATTCAGAGCTCCAGAGAAGCATCAGTTTGGATATGCACTCAGATCCTGGAGTGACAGGGTTTGAAATTACAATCGACCGATTTAGAGGAAGGAAGTGTTACCATTGAGCCAAACTGACAGCAATACATTCAAAGAACCTCTTCGTAAATGGTTACAGACCAGAACTTCCTTAACTGCAGAATCAAACCAACACGGAATTGTGGAACTATTATGGCACAGAAGGAGGCCTTTCAGCCCATCCTGTCTGTACCAGACCAATTTGTTTGGTATGATGTGCAATGTGTGGAGGCCTGGAAGCGAAAGGAAGGAAGAGGCAAAAGTCCATTCACCTCAGAAAGCAGTGGTACAGCTACAACCAGCTGCAAGCCTGGACAGTTGTGCATCTTAGACTTCATTATCATTCTGGAGGACAGGCTCAATCAAACCCAATGCCAATGGGGTCAGTCAGAAGGGAATCGAGGAAGGGTCTACAGAAATGGACTTTGGCATGGTCTGGAGAAAGGAGGTTAGTCTGAGGCAGAAGGGACAACGAAACACACCTGAACCTCACCCAGTTTTGAGGAAGGGTCACTGACTCTGAATCGTTAACTCTGCTTTCTCTGCATAGGTGCTGCCAGATTTGCTGAGTTTCTCCAGCAATTTCTGTTTTTGTTCCTGAACCTTTCTTGGCCCTGATCCTGTCTACTGTTACCATTCACACTCCAGTGAAAATTGTGTCAGGTCCAAATAGTGTCACTGGGCTCTGATAAATAACAGGTACTGAAGCCCAGGTCTACCTGTGATCTTTCTAATGATGAGATCGAGTGAGTGGGAAGGCAAGGGATACAGCAGAAGACATCCAGCTATTATTTTAACTATCAGCCAGCCCTCTGTCTTATTGCTTGCCAATCCAGGTTAAAATCAGGCTTTTAATAACTTTACAAAATAAAAACACATCTTCAATAAACGTTTCCAGTGACTAGAGACATGCAAGCACCAACATATGCACAATACTGAAAATGACCACTGTGGGGCACAGCAGCTTCACACAAACAGAAAAGTTGCATTAATGCCATCAGACATGTTAACTCTGTTAAGCACAAAATTATTTATTTTGATACATATGCCATATTAGGTGCTGCCAATCTGATAATCATATCTCACTGTCAGTTATTTAATTTTCTAATCTTTTCTATTACTTCATGGGATATTGGTGTGGGGACTAGGCCAATAATTATTGCCCTTCCTTAAATGCCCTGGTGGAGGCAGTGATGAGCTGCCATGTTGAGCCATCCAGTCTTTGGGTTATAGCAACTCCAACAGTGCTTTAGACGGTGAGTTCCAGGATTTTCACCTAGCAACAGTGAACGAATGGTGGTATATTTTCAAGTCATGATGATGAAAGGATTGGAGGGGGACTTGCAGGTGATGATATTCCCTTGTATCTGCTGCCCTTGTCCTTCCAGATGGAAGTGGTTGAGAATTTGGAGGGTGTTGGCCAAGGATCTTTGGTGAATTTCTGCCATGCATCTTGTAGATAGTATACACTGCTGCTACTGAGCATCAGTGGTGGAGGAGGGAATTGAATGCTTGTGGATGTGGTGTCAATCAAGAGGGCTGCTTTGTACTAGATGGTGTCAAACTTCTTGAGTGCTGTTGGACTGCACTCATCCAGGCAAGTGGGGAGTATTCTATCACACTCCTGACTTGTGCCATGTAGATGGTGGACATTCTTTAAGGAGTCAGGAGTTGACTTAATTCCTGCAGAATTCTCGACTTCTGAGCTGTTCTTGCAGCCACAGTATTTGTTGAGGTAGGTGGGACAGTTCAGTTTCTGAGCAAATGGCAATGCCGAGGATGCTGATACTCAGCTGACATAGCATTCATTGATACCCCTATGTCTTGCTTGCAGGACAATGTGAGGCAAAACTGGAGGCAGCAGGAGCTATCCAGAGGGCAACTGGCGGGTCCTAATCCCTGTGGAGGAAACACCACTCCTCATTATAGTGAGGTCACTGAGCAGGGCACAATCTGTAGCTGAAACCACTGAAGATGACAATATCATCATTCCTAAAATAGTAGGATTTTCTGAAGAAGGGTCTAGGCCCGAACGTCAGCTTTCCTGCACCTCTGATGCTGCTTGGCCTGCTGTGTTCATCCAGCTCTACATCTTGTTATCTCATCAGTCCTAATCCTTGTTCTCACATCCCACTTCTCCGTCGTCCCACGCACTCTTTTAATTTACATCCCATAGATGCTGTAAGTGTGCCCCTTCCTCCTTGTACCACAACCTTAAATGCCCTCACGCCTTTTTATTTCACAGACTCAGATGGCGTGACCAGGCTTGGCTGTGAGAGACTGATGATGATGATGACACAGCATTTACATTAGATTTCATATGCACAGTCACCAGCACAGAAACCGACCCTGTGTGTATCTCGGACAGAAGATTATTAGTGAGGTCAGCATGTGGTGACACACCAGGCTATGATGGACTGGACTGCTGTGTGAGTGCCTGATGGATTGGAAAGAGCTTGCAGTCATTGTCAGGGAGCAAGGAGGCATCGTGCCTAACATGGTGCAAGGCTTTGTGCCAAGCTTACAGCAAATGCAGATATTCAAGCCAAGTCAGTGTGTACATTTGTAGACCCAAACATGACGCAGTGCTTAAGAGCCTTTGTCATAACTTCCATTGCTAATGGGCCCAATTTTCCATCCAGTGTTTTCACCTGTCAGAGACTCCAAAACTAGGGGCCATCAATAGCTATTAATGACAAAAATAGGGAAATAAGGAGAAATTTCTGTACTCAGAGAGTAGGTGGAATGTATAACTTGCTACAAAAGAAAGTGATTTAAGCAAATAGTTGTTTTCAAAAGGGAGATATAGAAGGGAGTTTGGCAGAGCAGAGAATAGAAAGAGGTGAAAGGCTGAGGCATGTGGAATGGGATGAGACTTGTGTAGTGTACAAACACCAAGACAGATTGGCTGGGTTGACAGTTAGTTTCAGTGCTATTTTTCGGATGTAATTCCACATAAATTTCGATTTAACCCCTATTCAGGAAGACCTGGCAGGAAAGACAATGATTTTCTTTAGCAGGGTGTGGAGAAGCATGACAACTCATGCTGGAACTGCTGAGAAAGTATGGGCATCTGGGTTAATACACTCACAAAGTGGCCCTGTTCCTCTCCCTTGTGACTTAGCTCAGTGCAAGCACCATGCCTTGTGAATGTGAACTGCACAAAGCTAGATTCTCCTTGATGGAATGTGACTGATGCTGGGCCTATATCGTCCCTACGTGAGACCTGCTCCCAATTAAAAGCCAACCTACTCGGCTTTTCATTTGAATTCAGCACAAATGAAGACTGTCACTTTGTGTGTTGCTGAATGGGGCAGCACTAGAAAAAGAGTAAATATGATATCTCACAGCTACTGACCTCTGCTCCCCAGCCTCTGAATGCTTTCTCAAGTCGTAGGGAGTTCATAGCATACGCTCCAAAGTTGTCAATTCCAAATTCCTGCCCTGCCTCCATGATGGCAGTGTAGAGGGCAGCAGTGTCTTGTCGTTTGTGGTACAACTCCCACCCAAGCTCACCTAGAGTGAAACAGAGAGGTCAGTCAAGCTTAAATCATGCCAAAAATATATTATGAGGCTTCACACTATAAGGAGTGTAATAGAGATATTTCCTTTCATTTTCAACACTTTAAAGCTGATATAAATGGGATGTACAGCTGGTAAGTATCAGGATTAGCACTTAATATATTGAAATTCTATTCAGTGCAGTACATTAAAATTTACGGACACTTCCTCCCAGGTACACCCCACAATGTATATTAGAATAGCTGACATTATTAATACTGGTCAGAATTTATCTCACTGGAACTTTAGGCACTACAGACATTAATTCCACCTATTATGAACATATGAAATAGCACCAGGAGTTGGCCATTCAGCCCCTCAAACCTGCTCTACCATTCAATCCCCTGGAAGACAACTCTCTGATTGATTCCTGGGCAGCTGAAAAGCTTGTGGGTGTGAACAATACACTGAGAAGCCTGTGGACTGCTGGAAGGGGCAGGTGGTACATCTGTGCGTGTGTATGCGCGCGGGTGCGTGTGTGTCTCTCTCTCTTTCTGCGGTAAATTACCTGAAACTGAAAGAATTTTCTCCCACTGGTTGCTGTAAGCTGTTGCCTTTAACTACTAACTAAAAGACTCGGTGGTTGGTGTACTAATTGACCTGTGCCTCCTGCAAAGGGATGAAAAGAACCTGGAGAAAGAAAACTGAAGAACAGAAAGTCCTACAACTCTTCGCTGGTTGGAGTCAGACCTAGCACATTGGAAGATGGTTGTGGTTGTTGGAGGTCAGTCATCTCAGCTCCAGGACATCTCTGCAGGAGTTCCTCATTGTAGTGTCTTCGGTCCAACCATCTTCAGCTGCTTCATCAATGACCTTCCCTCCATCATAAGGTCAGAAGTGGGGATGTTCGCCAATGATTGCACAATGTCTGTGACTCCTCAGACATTGAAGCAGAGTGTGCCTGCATGCAGCAAGCACCAGACAATGTTCATCCTTGGAATGATAACTGGCAAGTGACACTGTGCCCCACAAATGCCAGTCAATGACCCATCTCCATCAACAAGGTATCTAACAATCATTCCTTGACATCAACAGCAGTCCCATCACTGGATACCCCACTATCAATATCCTGGGAGTCACCATGGCCAGAAGTTTTACTGAATCGGCCACAATTACTGGGCCGAAGGGTGGGGGGAGCAGGTCAGTGGCCAGCTATTTTGTGGCAAATCACTCACCTTCTGACTTCTGTCACCTGCCCACCATCTACAAGGCAAAGGTGGGGAGTGTGATGGAATACTTCCCACTTGCCTGGTTGAGTGCAGCTCCAATAACACTCAGGAGGCTAGACACCATCCAAGAAAAAGCAGCCCGCTTGGTTGTCATCCCATCCAGCCTCTTTAATCATGCATTCTCTCCATTACAGGCACATAGTGGCAGCAGTGTGCACCACCTACAAATGCAGTGCAGCAAATTGCTGAGGCACAACAAGCTGATGCCTCAACTGCCAGCAGAGAAGTCATAGATTAAAGGTCCATTCATGGATAGAGCCACAGCCTTTCATCTCCGCAGCTGTGTCATTGAGGCACAGAAAGGCCAGTTCTACTGGCCAGTCTGGCAACAACCAAGAAGCTACTTCAACAGGGACAATGACTTCCATATATACCCAGGGTAGGGAGAGCAGCTGGGAAAAACCAGCACCGCTGCTAAATAGCCCCCAGTTGGGGTCTTCATGAAGTAAATGGTTGCCCATCTCCATAAAATGAGTAGATGACCTAGTTCCCTGCCGATCCTGGGAAATCTCTGAGTGGCAAGAATGCACTGGGGAGGTATCCCTTTGGATATCCTTCAACCACCCTACTAGGTATCCTGTTTCCATGGAGCCAGGAAATTAGAGCTCACATTTACAATTTTGTGAACTGATTATGATCACATTTCAAAATAGCAACATAATTGCAGTGTTATTTATGATGTGCTAATTGCGCTATTACATTTGTCTGCAACAGCACATATGACTACTGTGACGTCACAAACACCTTTTTATCAAACATTTGCTTCATCATGGCATTTTAATAAGTACTTGGGCTCCTGATAGAGTTTCACCTGTGGGAGCACAGATCAGAAGTTTGGGCATGTATTTCCCATAGTTTCCTGATTATTAACTTTGAAGTTATCTAAAGGGCAAGTCTTATACTCATTTCTCCACGTCTCATCTTTTTTCAGTTGCCTATCAGGCCATCCCATTTCTAATTTTAAGTTGTCTAAAATTACCACTTATTTTCACTCTTCCTCGTCTACGTCCCTTTAATCATCCTTCAATCACCTCATTCAAGTTTAGAGGATGGCCAAACTAACCTTGATGTCTTTGCTTGAAGATATTCACTAATGGTATTACCTTCTCCACACGCTGAGAAATTCTTCATTGCTCTTGTGTTTTCTCCAAATTTAAAAAAGACATAGGGGGCAACTTTTTTACACAGAGAGTGGCTCATGTGTGGAATGAACTCACAGAGGAACTGGTGAATGCCGGCATAGTTACGTTTAAAAGGAATTTGGATAAGTATGTGAATAAGAAATGGGATTTGCAGCAAGTGCAAGCAGGTGTATCAGTATCTGACACTAACCTGTGTAGGAAATCCTCATAGCTGTAAGGGGGATACCAGCCAGAGTGACAGGCTTACACTGCAGGAACTTAAACGCTGTTCCACTCATGTCTACTGTCGTGAGTTTCTGAAGGACCATCCGTGAAAATGGCCCTGCTACACCCAGCACTCCGATCTCATCAGTCACATTGTGAATCTCAACTGCATAGCCACCATTCACTGCCTCTTCCTCTATATATCTAAATAAAAGGAAGTGATAAGTCAGATGAAGAGTACAGATCTGGCTTCCCTTTTTAAAGTAATAATAAATAAGTAAATGTGCAAAAGGCTTGTTTCAATCAAGGCATTGCATACCACCATTTTGGCATTTATGAATCTGGTTGGCACTGCACTTCAACTCATAGTGAGTGTATCATTACTTGTGGAGTGGAGGCAAAAGGATTGATAAGCATTCACCGCATGGTATGAGTTCATGTCCTGGGGTAGCATTTCAATCACTGAGCCAACCAATACTGAGTGTTCAAGATGTTCAACAAATAATTTACAATTAGTTCCACTAATGTCCTTATGGGTAACTTCGGTAATAAGAGAAAAACAGGCAAAACTGGATTCACCTTCATTAAACATCCCTCCCAATTTCCATCTCCATTAACCTCAACGGAGATAAAAATGGAAAACGATACAAAACAGACAGCCAAACCAATATTGCCTGTGTTCCACTAACACCAATGGAGAATTATTCCACTCTGGGAAAGGAACTTGATGACCTGATGTAGTCTGTAGAGACTTGAGTCCCAGATTAGTGTGAGTGCTTCTTTAGAATGGCCAATCAGCTTGAGCAGATTGGGATAGAGAATAAATGAGAGCCTTGCCAGCGACACCCAATTCTGAGACTGGGTAATGGTTACAAACAAGATCAGAATGGACAGTGTTCTGGTGACCAAGTGAAAAGATAACTGCCTGACCCTAGTTAGAAGACATAAGCCTCAACCCAGTGTATTGCTGAGCCGATGGCATCTCCAGTTAGTCTTGTCCACTTCCTTTCTTGGTACTGGACAGGGGTTTTAAGAATGGAAGATGCAAGGTCTTAAAAACTTCATCTAGTTTTAAAAATTTGCACAATCAATTCTCTTCATTTATTAAACATCTTACAAAATGAACAGAAAATGTGTTTGCACTGTATTGACCCAATGAAGAAAATGCAAATATAATGAATAAATTCATGTCAGCAGTTTCACTCTTAAAAAAAATCCATGCCCACCTTAGGTCATGGAGCTCTGACCCCGATCCTGTCACCAGCAGGAACTCCTCCTCTGACAAGTGGCTGATTGTTACCTCAGCATACACTCGCCCTCTTGGTGTAATCATATGACTGATGTTTATAGAGCCCATCTGTGGGAAAGGAGGGGGCGAATAAAGAGGGGTCACACACTGCAATTGTCACAATGAATCATCTGCATTTTCTTGGAACTTTATCCCTTTAACTATATTTAAAAGAACCAGTCTACATCTTTTCATATTTTTAGCTTTTCCACCAAATCTGGGGGAATGATCACCAAAGACAAACTGAGGAAATGCGGTATCCAAGGTGCAACAATGAGCTGATGCCAGATCTTAGGTCAGACAGCACAGATATATTTGTGGTTATCAAAAAAATACTGCTGGAGACTGAAGCTGGATATTGTCAGCTTTCAATGATGGCATGACATACTGATGACAAACAGAAAGAGAGCATGGATTGCAGCCTTGATTCCCAGCTCAATGGCTGGGTACTGGAGGAGAAGCCATTAAGGGAGATAAGGCTCACTGCAGTGGGAATGTAACCACATGAGGCACAGTCTCAGTGGTTGCAGAGGAAAAGGGCACATGTGACTACATCCAATGTGCTGGAGAAGTTCAGATGCTTGCAACAAGGAATTCGTAAGGTAAATGATAAATTGGCGTTTGTTGCAAAGGAATTGGAATTAATAAAAAGTCTTGTTAAAATTGCACAGGGTGTTGGTGACACACTTCTAACATGCCATATGGAGATTTAGTCTGGATGTACTTGTATTGAGAATAATACAACAAAGGTTCATCAAATTGGTCCCTAGGATGATAGGGTTGTCCATTGATGGAAAGCTGCGTAAATAGGGTCTATATTCTCTGGAGTGTAAAAGCATGAGAGGCAATCTCATTGCATAGTAGAAGATTCTGAAGGGGCTGAAAGGGGAGATGCTGAGACATTGTTTTTGCTGATCAGGGAATCTAAAATACAGGAGCACAATCTCAGGATAAGGGGCTAACTATTTACGACTGAAATGAGGGGGAATTATTTCACTCAAATGGTTGTTAATTGATGGAATTTACTGCCTCAGGGAGTTGTGAATAATACCATATTTAATATATTTAAGGCAAAGACAGACTTTTAGAGATAACACAGTGTGGAGGTGCAGGAACACAGCAGGCTAGGCAGCATCGAGGAGCAGGAAAGTTGATGTTTCAGGTCGGGAACCTTCTTCAGAAACGGGGACAAGGAAGGAAGTTCAGAAATAAAGAGAGAGAGGGTGAGGGGTGAGGCTGGGAAAAGGTAAGTGGGATGGTGATTGGTGAGTGTAGGTAGGGTGTGGTGGGGATTGATCAGTGAGGTGGGAGGGGTGGATAGGTAGGAGAGAAGATAGACAGGTTTTGTCAGGTTACGGAGGCAGGGATGAGAGGGAGGGTTGGTCATGGGATGAGGCCCGGGTGGGGAGATTTTGAAACCGGTAAAATCCACATTGAGGCCATTGGGCTGTAGGCTCCCAAGGCGGAACATGAGGTGCTGCTCCTCCACTTTCCAGGTGGCGTCACTGTGACACTGGAGGAGGCCCAGGATGGACATGTTGCCCAGGGAGTGGGAGGGGGAGTTGAAATGGTTTGCGACCGGAAGGTGTTGTTGTTTGTCGTGAACAGAACACAGGTGCTGTAGAAAACGGTCTCTAAGCTTCTGCTTGGTCTCACTGATGTAGAGGAGGCCACATCGGGAGCAGCGGATGCAATAGACCACATTGATGGATGTGCAGGTGAACCCTTCTTTAATCTCGAAGGTTTGTTTGGTGCCTTGAATGGAGGTGAGGTGAGGTGGGGCGGGGGGGGGGGGGGGGGGAGGGGCGGGTGTAGCACTTCCTGTGATTGCAAGGAAAGGTGCTGTGGGTGGTGGGGCTGGTGGGGAGTGTGGAGTGGACGAGGGAATCATGGAGAGCGTGGTCCCTATGAAAGGCCGATCGGGGTGGGGACGGAAATATATCTTTGGTTGTGGGGGCAAATTTTAGGTGGTGGAAGTGGCGGAGAATGATGCGTTGGAGATGGGGTGGTATGTGAGGACAAGGGAGATTCTGTCTTTATTCCTGTTGGGGGGAGGGGATGTGAGGGCAGAGGTGCGGGAAACGCAAGAGATGCAGTTGAGGGTATTTTCGACCACCGAAGGGGGGACGCTGCGGTCCTTGAAATTGGAGGACATCTGGGATGTGCTGGAGTGGAATGCCCCATCTTGGGAGCAGAGGCAGCGAAGGCAGAGGAATTGGGAGTAGGGAGTAAGACGGACTTTTGGTCTCTTGTGATCACATATGAAAGAAACGGAGTTGAAACTGAAGGTCATCCATGATCATATTAAATTGCAGAACAAGCTTGCCAGGCCATATACTTTACTCCTGCTTCTATTTATATTCTCGGTTGAAAAAGGATAACGCATCAGGGTTTCAGACACATAGAATGTTGTTAGAGTTTTGACGAAGGGTGTTACAAGATGATGGCCATGAGATGCTTAGTAACAATGCTTTCCAGAATCTTTCAAAGGAAAATGGAGACGGCATTTGAGGGCTTAAGAGTTGAAATTAAATAGCTGTAAATGATTTATCCTGTAATGGAAATCCATTCGTTACCTCCATTATGAAAAATGTAAATGATTTGACAGTCAAATCAGTCAGCACAAAACACATATGCAGATCGTTATCAACTCCTATGTCTATCCAACTGCTCTTCTCTCTCTTCGGGCTCTATCCTATCATTTACTCCCTATCCCATTCCCCTCCCTATTTTCTGCATATAAATCAATGTTTTCTCAGCTACCATCAGTTCTGAGGAGTCACCAGACCCGAAATGTTAACTCTGATTTTCTCTTCACAGATGCTGCCAGATCTGCAGAGCTTTTCCAGAAACTTCTGTTTTTGTTCCTGAGCACAAAACACACAATGTGCTACTACGTAAATACCAAGCTTTCCCTTACCACTAATTCTGTGTTTGTTGTGTTATTACCTCAGGACCTCCTACCTACAACCTCAAAAAGTTGGCATTTTGCAATTTAACCTGTCTTCCACTTTTCCATTTAACACAGACATCCACTTACCTTTGGAACAACATTTGCAATGAGGCGGTCCAGAAGTTTAACGGAGTCCTTTCCCTTCAAACTGAACTTTCCAAAAGGTGTTAGATCAAATACTCCTACTTTTTCCATGACCTGTTTACACTCTCTTCCAACTGGTTCAAACCAGTTTGTGCGATGAAAACTTGGCCTGGCATGGTTGAATAAGTTTGTTAAATCAATCCTTTGTTATGCAAAACAGAAAATCACATTTTGCTTTTATTCATCATGATGCTGTCCTTTGCAGTCACCCTGTAGAAAGGTGTGATTTGAAACTCTTCAATTAAATTGAAGAACCAGAAGTGAGAGAATTGTTTTGATGTAATCCATTATCTGAGAAGTTTCTGGAAGTAGATTCAGTCAAGTTAGCAAGAGGGGGTCTAGGCCTGAAACGTCAGCCTTTCTGCTCCTATGATGCTGCTTGGCCTGCTGTGTTCATCCAGCCCTGCACCTTGTTGTCTAGCAAGAGGGGGTGATGGTTTGCAGTAATAATGTAACCCAAAGGGCCAAGCTAGTTCTCTGGGGACATGGGGTTGAAATCCCACCATGGAAGTTTGAGAGGTGTAAATTCAATTAATAATTCCTCAATATAAAGTTAGTCTCAGCAACTGACAACAGCTGTTGTCACAAATCCATCAAACTTACTTCCCTTCAAGAAAGGAATTGTCCCATTCCTCACATGATCTGGCCTACATGTGACTCCAAATCCATAACACTGTGGCTGACTCTTTTCTGCCCCCTGAGCTAGCTACACAGCTCAAGGACAATTAGATACCATATCCAATGAAAGATTGATTTAAAAAAAAGGGAATTGAATAAAGGTTTGAATTATGGGACCATTGGAAAGAAGCAAGTGAACTGGACTAGTGACTTAAGAGGCCACCAAAGGCATAATATGGTGAATGGCCACAATCTGTGCTGTATAATTTAATAAAGAAAGGAAAGTCACATAATTTTCATTTATGGATCACAATCATCAATATGGACTCACTCTGCTTGGTCTTTGCTAAATTCTTGTTTTTCAATGGAGTTGCTAATGTGCTTATAAGATATTGAAGACAGTAAGTATCAAAGGCTAACATCATTCGACAATAGGTTGTTCAAATACAGCTAAATCAAAAAGGCCTATCTTAACAAGATAAGTAATTTCTTTAAGATCAATGATATGTAAGCGATAGCTGAAAAATCAGTACCACCAAAGGTCTACAGGGGTAGTTTGCACTTCTTATGGCTCCAGGATTATTGGAGGTTTCCAGCTATAAGGCCCATCCTGTAATGGAAATTTATTTGTTACCTCCATGATGAAAAATGTAAATAATTTGAGAATCAATCAGTCAGCACAAAACACATGGTGTGCTACTATGCAAATTTCAAACTTTCCCTCACTAATTCTGTGAAATGGTGGTTGTTTGTGCAATTACCTCAGGACATCTCGCCTAAAACCTGATTTGTGTGCAATTTACACTGCAGGGCCCTTTTCAGGTGCAATCAATTGAGAGTTGGGGCATGATTTTCCTCCATAATCAACATTCATCAAAAGGTAATCACCAATCAGTCAAGAGTGTGTGAACAATGACGGCATCCCAAGTCCCCACATTAAATTTACATGCCAATTATCAGCATTTATGTCCCAACCCATGGCTACAATGAAGATATTAAGGAAAAGTTTTGTTCTGGTCTTGATGCCAAAGGATTTTCTTTGTTTGTCCTTCTGGGGGACTTCAGCACTAGGATTGACTGTAACTCCAGTATCTGCAGTGTAACTGTTTAGCAAAACAAGGTGGGAAAAAAGATTGCAAATGACATCTCCTGCTGACAAAGTATGTTCAATATGGTGTCATTATAATAATAAATTCCCTCGTCTGCCAGGAGGACAAATAATAAAATCACTTAGAGGCATCATAGGTCAAAGCATTGACAGCTCCAGGAAATGTCATTACTCGACTCAAAGGTATCTGCGTCACTCTATCCATGCAGTGAGCTGATCCACGACGAACAGATTATAGACTTGTTCAATCCATGATGATCATTCACCTAATGCCCAAGACATCACGAGACCCAAAAGTCCAACAGGAAGACGATCAAAGCTTTAAAATTTAAGCAGCCTGACCAATGAGAGTATTTGAATTGCAGCTCACAACTAGTCCAGAAAATCTTCACAATATCCATCTCAACTGCAGAACAGTAGGGCATTCTCCAGGCTATCCCCTGCACCCTATGGTAGAACCTTGGGGACAATTAGGGATGGGGTATAAATGCTGGCCCAACCAGCAACATCCACATTCCATGAGTAATACATTGATGAGAGCACTGTAACAAAAGTAAATCAATAAAGCTTCCAGCTCCAATGGAATTCCTGTTGAGGTCATCAATGCCGGTGGACCTTTGCTCACTTCAAGACTCCATGCACTCATTCAATGGATTTGGGAGGAGGACGAACTCCCCTTGAGTATAGGAATGTGACAACTGAAACCACTTTCAAGAAGGGAGATAATCCGAGAAGTCAGGACAATTCCCACATCCACAATAGGGATAATCCTGGCACAAGACTCCTGAATTGCCTACTTGAGGAAATCTCCTCCACAGATACAGTGTTACTTAAGATCTTACAGAAAAATCTCTGTCATGATCTTTGTTAGCAGACATATTCAAGAAAAATGTTAAGAACAACACCAAGAACTTTTAATTGCATCCATCAACTTGACCAAAGCATTTGAGTCAGTAACTCACAAGGCTCTGTGAACAGTACTCCAAAGATTTGGATGTTTAAGAAAGGTAACGCCATCATGCAATTGATGATATGATTGCAATCCGTAAGAGATCTGAAACAGTCATCTTCCAAGTCCAGAGATGGTAGGAACTGCAGATGCTGGAGAATCGGAGATAACAAGGTGTACAGCTAGATGAACACAGCAGGCCAAGCAGCATCAGAGGAGCAGGAAAGCTGACCGGTTTCTGGCCTAGACCCTTCTTCAGAAAGGTCTAGGCCCAAAACGTCAGCTTTCCTGCTCCTCTGATGCTGCTTGACCTGCTGTGTTCATCCAGCTCTACACCTTGTTATCTCATCTTCCAAGTCCAGACTGGTGTTAAGCCCTCATGCTATTTATAATTTACATGTTATTCATCATAAATATTAACTCCCTCTTATAAGAATACTAAAGACCACCTATATGGATACATTTTAACTTCAGTTCCCTCAGTGCCAAAACTAAACTGACTACTACTGTTTGTGGGTGATTGTTGTGTCTTTTTCCACTCTGTACTCTCAATTTTTTCAGTTCTGCAGACAAGAGGCTGAGTCTGCCCTTGGATATTGCAAAAACAAAACTCATTGTAACCCACAACTGTTTAGCCAAAAACTCTACCTTTCACAGTTGTTGAGGGAGCGACTCTGGAATATTCAAGCACTTCCCCTATCTTTGCAGAATTCTCTCTCAAAAGGTCTGTATTGACAAGGAGCTCCAGTGGCAGCAGCAGAATAGCTGAGCCTTCCATAAACCATGGAAATGAGTGTTTGACAACAAAAACTTTCACAAGATAACAAAAGCCTCAGTGTACAGAGCAGCTGTCACCACCACACTCTGATATTGCAGTGAGAGCTGAACTGTGAATCAGCATTACATGAGCGAGCCAGAGAAATACCCCCAGCAATGGTTCCATCACATCCTCTGAATTCAATGGGAGTACCTTCAAAAAAACACTGGTGACCTTATTCAAGCCAACTCCTGAGGCAATCAAGCAAAACTCCTGCAACATCAACTAGGATGAACTGGCCATTGTGTCTACCATATCTCTCCTCATATGACAACAGTGTCACCAATATCACCAATATAGTAAACCTTTGCTATGCCTCCTCTGACGCAAGTATATCCTTCCTTAGGTTGGGTGAACAAAATAGTACAGAGTACTCCAGGTTAGCCTCAACAAAACCCAAAATAATTACAGCAAGTCTTCCTTTGGCTTAACACTCCAATCCCTTTTCGATAAAAGTTCACATGCTATTTGCCTTCCTGACTGATTGCAATACCTGTATGCTAGCCTCCTGGGATTTGCGCATAAGGACATGCGAATTCCTCTGCATACTAATAACAACTTGTCTCTGATCTTTAAAAAAGAAGTGTACTTTTCTAGTCTTCTCACCAATTTCAAATTTCCTCACGTTATAATCCATCTGTCATATTCTTGCTCACACTCTTGTCTTGCCTGTATTCCGTAGTTGGAATGTTCTCCTCATGAAAGTTCTGTTCCAGTCTAGCTTTGTGTTGTCAGCAAGGTTTGGTATGTTAAAGTTTGAACCTTAACTAAAGTAGTTGATATAGATTGTAAGTCACCATGGTTTAAGTATTGATCCTTGCAGCACTCCATTAGTTACAGTCTGTCAACACAAGGATGACCCTTTTACTCCTACTCTATTGTCTGTCTTTTAACGAATCCTCAATCCATACTTTATTGCCTCCTATCCCAAGAGACCTACTCTTGCATAATGACCTGTCATGTAGCACCTTATTGAAAATCCAAATATGCAAAATTCATTGGCAGCTACACACCCAAACAAATATAATAGATTTGTCAAGCACAATTTTTATTTCACAGAACCACATTGACCATGTCTAATACATATTGGGGCATATTATGATTTACTAAGTGCACTGCTGCCCTGTCCTAATTAACAGATTCTAGTATTGTCCCTATTACTCATTTCATCTGTCTTCTGCGTCCCTCCTTCCTTGAACAGCACGATGGCATTTGCTACTTTACAAGCTACAGGGGCTGTTTCACAGTCTCAGGAGTTCTGCAGGATTAATACTGACATATCTGCAACTTTTAAAAACTTTTAGGTTGCAAGTCATCAGGAGCAAGGAATTCACCTCCTGTGCTTATCCCCTGATCAACACAGTCTCTCTTACTTTCTCTCTTCCGTCCTTCCTAAATACAATATCCTTCACCTTCAAGGTTAGCCAGTGTGATGGGGCTGGAATTTAGTTCTGCTGCAAGGACAAAGCTGGCAGTCGTAGATTGGTTGGTTGCTCATTAGTTCCCAACCTGATTTGAAGCCAATAAACGAGGAAGTTAAATGAGGGATATACTCCAGTGCCTGTTTAGTGTCTCCATCGCGTCTGAATTTCACCCCTTCATTTTTTTTCCTCCTCCTCTCTCCTACCTCAGTCTTACGCTTTCTCTCTCCAACCTCAGGATGAAATAAAGTTAGGTCATTCAATAATGACAGATGTATCTACATTCAAATATTGTTGATCACGTTTTCGGGCCAGTTTGTTACATTTTAAATTTTGCGTGGAGGATTGCCAACATAGTCTGTCACTTCAGACTCACGAGCCCCAGACCCCAACTATGAAAACTATTAATGATCATTCTCCAAAAAAAACTCTCCCTCTCTTCTTCTTTCTTTCATTCTGTCTCCTCCTCTTCTGCTTCTCTCTCTCTCTCTCTCTCTGTCCTCCTCAGAGATCACAGTGCGTACATTCCTGCCTTGGAATAAAGCTGTAAACACACAAATGTGAAAACAATGAATTTATAACCTTAAAAGATCAGTGCAAAATGTAATGTTTGAACCTCAGTAAAATTTCATAATCATGGACTGTAGGTATAAGTACAAGGAACAAATGTAAAAACACCATCAAGAAGTGGTGCTGTGGTAGTGTCCCTTCCCCTGAGCCAGGAGGCCTGGAGTTCAAAACCTACCTGTTCTAGAGGTGTATAATAACTTCGCTGAACAGATTGATTCAGAAATATCTAAGATTGGGACTTGAGCAAAAGCACAAGTTAATTCTACAGCTAGTGCATTTTTTCACTTTGGTAATGGAGCTGAAGAATGTGTTAGCTGGACACTCATTCTGGGTGTGATTGCCATAAGAATGCTGCAGGTCCTCTTAAGGAGGTCATACACCAGTTTGGTGGTTGGCTTGTCAAAATGCGCTCTGCTAATAGCGACTTAACTGTTTAGGAGAAAACATGGTGTTGAGGTGTGTTTCAAGCATTGCTTAAAGTAATACTCACCAGTTCATGTTATCTTATTGCTAAGGATGTCCAGGATACAGATTCTCTGGGACACTTTGGTAAGATTTCATGAATAGTCATTCAGCATTTATTTCAGAAAATCTTTGAGAGATTCACATAAGAGTAAGTGTAAAGTGAAGCTAATATATTGAACACCTTCAAAAAGTTGCCAAGAGAACAGAACTGCTTGGCATCATGCTAGAGATGTCTCTTGTTTGGAAGACATATGGAAGGAGCATATGAAGCCAGTGCCAACTGCTACAAGAGAAAGGAACAAGCTGGTGCTGCACACAATGCACAGAACCCACCTACAGCTGGTTGGCAACTCTCAGGCTGGCACTGCCACCCTGGGGTCCTGGATCATGAGAAGGACCTGCTGCTGTCCATTTGAGTGCCACTGTTCCCATCAGAAGGGGCATCAATAAAGAAGGCAATCAGCCAGCAGCAGGCTACACAATGAGAGTTGCCAGACTGACTGCCTTACTTCCACCTTCCCCTACCACAAGTATCAGAGCCGCCGAGGTGGGATGAGGCCCTTAAATGGTCATCAGTTGCTCACTTAAGGACCTCAACTGGCTCCAAGGTGGGTGTGTTACGAGATCCCTTACGAGATCACTGGAATAGGGAGACATGTTGGGTTGGGCAAGAAGGCAGTGGTCACCTGTCTTATTCTACAAGACCCCGAAACTCCCCACCGTTCCCACCCAGCAAGTGGGGAGGCGTTAAGTTCACCCCATAGTTTCTGTCGGAAGTTATGAAGAAGAACAGCTAGCTCAAGCATGCTCCCAAATGTGAGTAGGTGCATTGATGAGATGCCACAATACAGTCACATCATTGATCACATTTACTGTTGTTAGCGCCGTAGCAACAAAAAAGGGGTGGTAGTATTCCTGCCTCCCAGCCAGTGATAAGCCGTCCTTCCAAAAGCCTGCTTAAAACATTTTAAAGAAAGCTGACCCTGTCGAACTGTCTAGGGTCAGCACCAGGTCACTGAAATGGAATAAGCAGCCGTGCCCTTTCACACATTTCTGCCAAGAAGGTTCGGCCTACCCAATACTTTTCAAAATTAACGTATACTCTTGTCTCCGCTTTGAAAGCAGAATGGCAGAAATCAGTAACATCTCCTAGTTTATTGTATTCTCAAAAATAAATGAATGCATGTTTGAAATTAATTTACTGTCAAAATTTTCTTTCAGTTTTCTGATTATGTTATTTTTGGGACAATATTAACCTTTTTATTAACATTTGAAAAAGAATTAATGCTGTAACTATTATGTTGTGCATGTGCGTGCTGCTTATAAATTAAGGCTTTATGATATTCAAATGGTTTTCGATATAGAATTTTCAGGGGAATTTTGGGATGTGGGTGTCGCTGGCTGCTCCCCATTCTTAAATGCACTTGAGAACCAGCACCTCTTGAACCACTGTAATCCGTGCTGATTAATTCACTCAAAGTGTTGGCAGGGATGGAGTTCCAGGAATTGATCCAGCTCCAGTGAAGGAGCAGTGATATACAGCAAACTTTATTTTAACCAGCACCTTGTCTCGATAAACTAACAAAAATTATGTACCTCAAATACTGTGATCTACCATGTCCAAGTATTTATGCTGTAATAAAGAGTATCACAGTGATGTGTATACTCCCTGCATTACATTTCTATTACTTACTGAGAGTTATACTGATTTTAGGAGATTCATTGATGCTTTTACATCAACATTTTTGAGGGATGTCTCGAATCTTCACTCTGTCAGGGTTTAATGCGATTAGGGATACCGCTTTATTATCCGGAATATTTGATCAACCAGCACACTCCTGGTTCCCCTAGGTGCCAGTTGATAAAAAGTTTGCTCTATTTCCAAATCAGAATTATGGAGCTTGCAGACGTTGCTATTCCCATACGCCGCTGCCCTTGTTCTTATAGGTGGCAAAAACCTCAGATCTGAACGTGTTTTTGAGGGACCCTTAAGGAGTTCCTTCAGCGCATTTCTGTATGATATACATTGTTGGTACCGAGATGTGTAAAGTTCACATGGAGAAAGCAGTTTTGAAATGGACTAATGGCTTTCTGGTCACATGTGGTTTACAATTTCAGTAGCATTTAGTCACAATGTTCAATTTTACCTGTATTCAGCGTCATCTCCAGGTTTGTAGAACCAGTGTGGCTGCTCCCAGCCAGCATGGAACCCCATGGATCCTTTGGCTTTCAAGGTTTCATAAATTCCACTTACTCTTTCTGTTGGTCTTCCCGCAAACCTCTCTTCTTTGGGATATCCAACTTAAGTGAAGAAAACCAAAGTCAGGGAATTTGTAAATACAACTACCATTCATCCCATTAATGACAATCATTGTTTACCTTTTAGGTTCTAGCAAGAAGGCCATTGACCAGAAATGTTACCAATGATGTCCTGCCTCCATCGATACTGTCTCACCTGCTTAGCGTTTCTAGCATTTTCTAGTTTTTTTTCAAATTTCCAGCATTTGCTCCCTTTGTAACTGACCTCAAATTACACAACCCTCTCTCCCCAATTTGTTGCTTAGTGTCTATTTTCTGCAGTGCATCTTGTAGATAGTACATACTGCTGCTACTGAGCATCGGTGGTGGAGGGAATGAATGCTTTTGGGTGTAGTGCCAGTCAAGCGGGCTGCTTTGGCCTGGACATTGTCAAATTCTTGAATGTTGTTGGGGCTGCATTCATCCAGGCAAGTGGAGAGTATTCCATCACACTCCTGACTTGTACATTGTAGATGGTGGGCATGCTTTGGGGAATCAGGAGGTGAGCTACTTGCCACAGTATTCCTAGCCTCTGACCTGCTCTTGTAGCCATTGTATTTATGTGGCAAGTCCAGTTCAGTTTCTGGTCAATGGTAACCCCCAGGATGCTTATAGTGGGGGATTTAGTGATAGTAACACCGTTGAATGTCAACGGGTGGTGGTTAGATTGTCTCCTATTGGAGATGGTCATTGCCTGGCATGTGTGACACAAATGTTACCTGCCACTTGTTAGATCAAGCCTGTATATTGCCCAGATCTTGTATTTGAATATTGACTGCTTCAGTGTCTGAAGAGTCATGTGTGGTGCCGAACATTGTGCAATCATCGGCGAACATTCCCACTTCCGACCTTATGATGGAGGGAAGGTCATTGATGAAGCAGCTGAAGATGGTTCGGTCTGGGACAGTGCCCTGAGGAACTTCTGCACATATCCTGGAGCTGAGATGACTGATCCCCAACAATTACGGCCATCTTCCTATGTGCCAGGTGTGACTCCAACCTGCAGAGGGTTTGGTCCCAATACCCATTATTTTTCCTTGATGCAACACTCAGTCAAATGTAGGCTTGATGTCAAGGGCTGTCACTCTCACTTCACCTCTGGAATTCAGCTCTTTTGTTCATGTTTGAAGCAAGGCTGTAATGAGGTCAGGAGCTGAGTGGCCCTGGTGGAATCCAAACTAGGTGTCACTGAGCAGGTTGTTGCTGAGCAGGTGCTGCTTGGTAGCACTATTGATGACACCTTCCATCACATTACTGATGATCAAGAATAGACTGATGGAGTGGCAATTAGCTGGATTGGATTTGTTCTTTTTTTTGTTTACAGAATATACCTGGGCAATTTACCACACTGTTGGGAAGATGCCAGTGTTGTAACTGTAGTGGAACAGCTTGGCTAGGTGAGCAGCAAGTTCTGGAGCACACGTCTTCAGTACCATTGCCAGAATGTTATCAGGGCCCATAGCCTTTGCAGTATCCAGTGCCTCCAACCATTCCTTGATTACGGGTGGAGTGAAATGAGTTGGCTGAATACTGGTATCTATTATGCTGGAGACCACTGGAGAAGGCTGAGATGGATCATCCACTTGGCACTTCTGGCTGAAGATTACTGTGAATGCTTCAGTTTTATCTTTTGCATTGATTTCCTGGGCTCTTCCATCATTAAGGATGGGGATATTTATGGAGCTTCCTCCTCCAGTGAGAAGTTAAATTGACCACCACCATTCACAACTGGATGTGGTAGGACTGCAAAGGTTAGGTGTGATCCATTGGTTGTGGGATCGCTTCGATTTATCTCTTGTTGCTTATGCTGTTTCACATGCAAGTAGTCCTGCCTAAGGCACTACCCTGAGGAACTGGAGTTGAGATGATAGACCTACAATAACCACAACCATCTTCCTTGTACCAGGTAGGACTCAAAGCAATGGAGGTTTTGTCTCCAATACCCATTAACTGAGCTAAATGTCGTTAGACTCTTCTATCAGAGTGATCATCATAACAAAACTCAATCTTTTCCTCACATGGAACACTCTTACCATACTAATGTGAGACAATGACAGTCTTCAACAAGAGAGAATCTAACTCCTCCTGCCTGCCAAATTCTCAGGGAGTATACAAACATATGAATTAGTGGGTGTAGGCTATTCAACACCTCAAGTTTGATCCGCCATTTAATAGGATCATGGCTAATCTCTTTGTAAACTCAATCTGCATTCCTGCCTACTCCTTATAAACTATCACCCTGTTCTTAACAAGAATCTATCCACCTCTGCCTTAAAAATATTCAAGGACTACCTTTCACCACTTTTTCAGGAAAAGAATTCTAAAGACTTAGGACCCTCTGAGAGAGTCAAAACATCACCAAATCTGTTTTAAATGGATAACACTGACACCTAGTTGCAGATGCTCCTATAAGAGTTATCATCCTCACCATATCCAAGCCTGTTCAGAATTCTATATATTTCAATTAATTCACCTCTCGCTCTTCTCGACTCCTGTGGATGCAAGCTTAGCCTGCCCAACATTTCCTCATAAGATAAACCACCTATTCCAGGTATTAGGCCAGTTAACCTCACTTGAACTGCCTCCAATACATTTACATTCTTCCTTAAATAACATTGGAAATACTGTGACAACAAGGTGCAGGGCTGGATGAGCACAGCAGGCCAAGCAGCATCATAGGAGCAGAGAGGCTGACGTTTCGGGCCTAGACCCTTCATCAGAAAAGGGGGAGGGGAAGGGGGTTTTGAAATAAATAGGGAGAGAGTGGGAGGCGGATAGAAGAGGGATAGAGGAGAGGATAGGTGGAGAGGAAACAAACAGGTCGAAGAGGCGGGGATGGAGCCAGTAAAGGTGAGTGTAGGTAGGGAGTTAGGAAGGGGATAGGTCAGTCCAGGGAGGATGGACAGGTCAAGGGGGCCGGATGAGGTTGGTCGGTAGGAGATGGAGGTGCGGCTTGAGGTGGGAGGAGGGGATAGGTGGGAGGAAGAACAGTTTAGGGAGGCAGGGACGAGCTGGATTGGTTTTGGGATGCGGTAGGGGGAGGGGAGATTTTGAAACTTGTGAAATCCAGACTCCATTTTCTCCCCCTTGGTCCAGGAACTCCCTACCTATGTCCGTGACACCACTCACGCCCTCCACCTCCTCCAGAACTTCCAATTCCCCGGTCCCCAACACCTCATCTTTACCATGGACGTCCAGTCCCTCTACACCTGCATTCCCCATGCAGATGGCCTTAAGGCCCTCCGCTTCTTCCTGTCCCGCAGGCCCGACCAGTCCCCCTCCACTGATACCCTCATCCGCTTAGCCGAACTCGTCCTCACACTCAACAACTTCTCTTTCAATTCCTCCCACTTCCTACAGACAAAGGGGGTAGCCATGGGTACCCGCATGGGCCCAAGCTACGCCTGCCTCTTTGTAGGTTACGTGGAACAATCCCTCTTCCGTACCTACACCGGCCCTAAACCCCACCTCTTCCTCCGTTACATTGATGACTGTATCGGCGCCGCCTCGTGCTCCCACGAGGAGCTCGAACAGTTCATACACTTCACTAACACCTTCCACCCCAACCTTAAGTTTACCTGGACCATCTCTAACACCTCTCTCCCCTTCCTGGACCTCTCTGTCTCCATATCGGGCAACCACC